TCCAAATATTTATCAACATCAGTCAGAATATTAAGGTTTGTTTTGTGAATGATCTCATCTACGTCACTGTCTCCATTAACTCCATTGCTTATAAATGTCATTTCGCTGCTTATAAGTGACGTACCAATAAAATTTATTCTTTTGCATTTCTTACATTGAGAATGATTTGTAATTCCGAAAATAATATTTGTTGTTAAACAATATCTACACCTATTATAAATTACTTGGCAATTTGAACACCATTTTTGACAATCTGATATAGTTTCTAGTTCTCTATTACAATTTTTACAATGACTACTATCATCCCACCATGGCAAATAAAGAATCGGTATAAATTTCTTCGTTAATTTTGATTCTTCCCGTCCGTAAGAAATTTTATAACAATCTGAGCATATTTCAAAATCCACTTCATAAACTAACGCTAAGTGTTGTTCTTTGTTATAAACTAACTTCCCACATAATTTACAATCCTTAATAATTTCAAATATTTTAAGTTCATACTTATCCATATAACCTGTACTTCCATATACTTGTTTGAAATATAAAATATCGGAGCAAGTTTCACACCATTTTTGAATGTTTGGAGTGCAAAAATCCTTATTCCTAGCTTCATGATTATTACAACTATAATATTCATATTTATTTGTAACTATAAGCACATCCAAATACGTATTATCATCAGTTATAGAATTAATATACTCGGATAAGCAATTTTTACAATAGTATTGGTAAAATGAACGTGTCCAAGAGTATTCATTTCCACAATGACATTTATCACCCCATTCGTCATTAAAAGGAATAAACCTAATTGGTACAGGACAGGATTTTAATTTTGGAGTTGGATCAAAAGAACCATTATTTATAGGAGTAATTTCCATAATTAAGAAAGTTAGTTTAAAAAAAAAAATGAATGCTTTGACATTTTATATTTAATTAATGTTACACAAAACGTTGTCCGACTCGAAAACTTTGCATGGGATTGGAATTCTATGAAAATTTTTTTAATTCCAAGATCTAACTATTTAAGTTAGGGATCAACATTTTCTTAAAATGTGCAGCGTTTCTTGGTAGTGAACCTTAAGTTTTTTTTTTTTTTATTCCTTACTGTGGTGGCTTTGAAAAGGGTAAGTGAACTAATTTATAATTGTTAATCTAAGAACGGGATCGTTCAATAAAAAATTCGCATCGTTAAAATGTTTTTTTGTTGAAAAAGTTAGTTAATAAAATATTTTACATTTTAAAATATGGGTTCCAATTTTTTTGCGATTTGATTGTGATTATAATAATACTTTTACACATTTTTTTGATTTTTCTTTGATTAAGAAACTCTTATATCCCTTTGATTATTTCATATATTTTGTACAATTTATCATGACCTTGTTTAATAGTGTATTCTATGCTGAAATAGGTTCTATAATCCAATTTGGAAAATTTTCATTAAACATTACTATTAAATCTCCTTTCTAAAGTTTTCATCGTTAAAGGATTGAAGCGATTCGGTTAAAAAAATATAGTTTTAGTACTAAATAATTTACGACATGCTATCCTGGAAACATAAAATCTGTTGCAAGTATTATTATTTATTTATTTATTTTGAGTAATGGATATCCGATGTCGTCCGAAAAAAGTTATATTGACGTTACCTGTCAATTTTTTTCTTGTGGTTTTACAAGTTCAGATTTGAAATTCAAGACACATGGAAGCAATTATCCAAAGTTATGATACAAAACTACCATGTTGAGAACATATCGCTTTGTTGGTATCCTACGTCACAAATTTTCATCTTTGGTTATATGGGAGGATTGCTAGGAAAATGAGATTCTGAGAATTTTTTAATAAAAATTTAGATTTTATTGCATTTGAATTTTTGATAATATTAGATTAAAATGTAATAAGAATGAAACTTTAGTCAAAAAATTCTCAGAACCTCATTTCCTAGCATATTACGGAGTTGATGGGAGTCAAATCATAAATAAAATCAACATGAGACCAAATCCTTTATTAAAATCCCTTTTTAGGCTAGAACATATGAGACAACTGAATAACCTTCATTGTTTGATTTCCATCATTGACGAATATCATTTTAAACTACACAATAAACAACAACAATTAATTTGAAATATCGATTATTTTCACATGGATTTGTATTCTACTCAAGTAAACTTATTATTACAAATATTTTTCGGAAAGTTGCATACTCGAGTTGAATAAGTCTTTAGATTTATTGTATGGAAAGATACTACTTATTAACTCACAAATATCTTTAAAAATTGTAGTCATTTCGTTTTTTTTTTTTTACATTATATAATACAATTATTTCGTCATTTAAGAAAAAAAAATTAATAAAAATAAACAGCATTATATTGGGAGCCGTTCAAAATCCCGAAGTTCAAAATCCTGAATGACTTTATATTATCGTTTTATTTTATTGTGCATCTATTAGGACTCAAATGGCTGATATTGTCGGGTATGTAATTACGTACACATTCTCATCCAATCATCGGTCCTAAATATAAAATATAATAATGTGCATTTGTAATTTTTTGGTATTCACTAATGTAAAATTCGTTATTGTTAACAGAATACAGTCTCCCTCGAGATGGGTGGAACATCAACTTGAAATGTTCTGCTTTATTTTTTTACTTAATAAAAACATCCAATTTAAAAATCAGTTTACAATGACTATATTAATAAAGTTAAATCCCTTTATTTGAAATCCCTTTGTACAATATTCTTTATATCAAAATATGAGGAGAATTCAAATGAATCAGGATGTTTTGATCGGATGACTATTTAATCAAAGTAGATAAAGAAGAAGAATGCTTTGCTAATAATTTATTATGATTTGGATATTTTTATTTTCAAATTAAATCAAATCTATTTTTAAAACTGCCCCGTTATTTTTGTTTTTGTTTTTGTCTTGTTCTTAATATTTTTCTTTCAAAAAAAGGATCATATTCTAAAAAAGGCCGAATCATAAAACGATTTACAATGGGAGAGGAGTTAAGATTAGAAAGATAATTTTCAAAAAATGAATTAATATATAATTTGAAATAATGTCATTGCTCCCAGTCAGCAACATCACAAATAAAATCGATATCACAATGAAATATGGATCAAAAAAAAAAAAACGAATGCACGATCAGAAAGCATACAATTTGACCCAAAAAAGTAAAGAAATAATTTTTTAAAAAAAAGGAGGTCGGTCATGCTTGAAAATAAAAAAGAAATAAAAAAAAAATAAAAAAAATGATAAATAATAATACAATTCAAATTGGGTTAACTTTCGGTTATCATAACGGGATGCTACCAGTTTCAGGATGAAAATTTAATTAAATCATGCAAATCAATTTTTTAAGGATACAGAATATCCCTGATCACCATCAAAGTAAACAAGGGAAATATTCAAGCGATTGTTTTCAGGTTCAAAGTATAATCGATCAAACATGCACAAGACATCTTCAACGAATACAAATTTAAACGATTATGAACGAATAAAGATAAAAAAAGAGATGTTGTAAAGGTGTAAAGTCATTATGTTTCACATTACGCCGGTTGTACCTTTGAATCCTAAAATTACCTAATTTTTCCATTCATTCGTTATGATTAAACGATAACATCATCAATGAAAATAAGGAGATTCATAAAAAAAATACAAAATTCCATAGAATGAATTTAAACCGGTTCTAGATAGAAATTTCGGAATTCGGATCATCATCATTCTATAAAAAAATTACTTGATATGGTCACAAAAATGAAATCAAATTTGGGTAACCTAATGCCAAATGATAATCAAACACGAATCTCGTGTGATTATATCATCAAAGATTGATCGATGAATTCACTTTAACCTTTGAGCATTTATTAAAAATATATAAATACTCTTCGAGAAATTTTTTAGAGCATCTTACAACACATCGTAATTTCAGTGTCAACAAATAATTCTAAAATTCAAAATGTCTACACCCATGGAAAAGATTACTCATTTGTTACGATCGGTAACATCACATCGTGATCGCAAAAACCTAAATTTTCACTATTCCTATCTCATTAATGATGAAGAAATTAGCAGACTACAATTTCAGCATTACGTTTATCAACAAGTGTGGGACAACAGCAACTTTTCTGCTCCCGTAAAAGATTTATTGGAAACCGATGGCACAAGAATCCTTGATGTTGGGTAAGCTTTTTAATTCATTAAATTTTAATTTTACGATAAAATCCAAATAAATCATTCATTTTCTTCCGTTTGATTAAAGATGTGGCCCTGCAACGTGGTTATTAGAGATGGCAACGGAGTACCAAAAGTCAAATTTTACGGGAATTGACATTAAGCCCACTTATCCAACTGAAACAAAGCCTTCTAATGTCAACTTTCAACAGGCAGATTTATTGACTAGTTTACCATTTGAAGATAACACATTTGATTATGTATTCTGCAGAGCGATGATGTTCGCTTTTAGGAAAACAGATTGGGAGGTTGCCATAAAAGAAATTTGTCGGGTTTGTAAAGTTGGTGGTTACGTCGAATTCATGGAGAAAGATATTGTTATTGAAAATGAAAGAGAGTTCACGAGGAAACTAAGATCGAAACGTGGGTATCTTTATTTTATTTTTTTTTTTTTACAAAATTCTCAAGTTACATGATTAGTAATCGGGATTATTTTTTTTTTAGTAACTGTAGAATTGATGAAAAAGAATGTCGAGCCGATAATTTCACAAAAAATTGAAGATTACATTCGCAATACAAATAAATTTTCAATAGTAAAACATGATCAAAGAAGTGTTATGATAGGTGGGGCCGATAAGCTAGGCAAGGAATACAAAGATTTATTTACGTGGGGAGCTAGAAATCTGAAGGATGCCATGAAAAAGTCGGGCTATAATGTGGATTGGGGTTCGATTGAAAAAAGCATAGAGGAAATAAGTGACAGTCGTTGTTGTGATAAAATTCATAGAATATGGGCTAGAAAAGGGGAATGTAATTCAATGGTTGAGGTTCATTAATTTATTGATTTTAGAAGAAAATTCTATATTAACATAGTATTTTAACTACATTATAATAGTAATATTTTAATTATTTAATCAATGTATTTATTAGAAATAAGCATATATTATTCGCACAATAAAGACAACTATAAGTTCATTAAATTGACGCGTTTATTTTTTTTTAAAAAAGTATGATTCACGTGGCCAATGTATGCGAAACTTATTGTTTAATAATACTGCAAAATTCAATTAAAATTTTTTAATTTTGAATCAATCGTTTTAAGGCTAGTTCCAAAGCTAACTAAATTTAGAGACTTTTCATTGAATGGTCCCTTGAATTATGGTAGCAAATTAAAGTTATCACAATGCATCATTCCCATGACCGACCCATTTATAAAGTGATGTGTGACCGGATATCATATGATTAACGTACACACATATGATCATACTTTGATTTACTGATTGTCCTCATGAAAATCTTTGAAATCTCTCCCAATTTTACTGCGATCGCAACAGAAACCAATGAATTTTTTCTGTTAATAATCCGGTAATAAATAAATTAATGCAAAAACTCGCATGATAAAAAAAAATATATATTTGAAAAAGAGAATCGATTATTTTTGGTGAAAGACCCAATAGTACTGTGGTACTATAGAACATGTGAGGGACAGTTTTTTTTAAAAAACAAACAATACACAATAAATGGATGAAACGTAACACTGAGTCGGAAACTTCATATAGAAAACCTTCCGATAAATCCCGTCATCATCTAGAAACACTTTTTCTTTTTGATTGTAGAATTAATTAATGGGGCACCTTGAAATTTTTATGAACCTTACTCTTTGTAAACATTCCATAATTATTCTTGTGATTCGACATGTGAGCGATATTTTCAGGAAAAAGCAATTGAATGGTTTTTCCCAATTTACCATTAAAATGTCTTGGTATCGTATAGGAATTTTTCACCAATTCATGATCCCATCAATTACTGACGGGACAATAAGCGATCATATGATGATTATGCATTGCATTAACCTTTCAAAAGAGTTCAAATTTGAATCCCATTTATCTTTGATGATTGAGAATTTTAGGTAATACATAAAAGAATTCGAATTAACTTTTTAAAGAGATTTTTATGCCAATTAAAGATACTGCATTTGTAATGGTCTGCTTGTTCATTCGATTACAATTCAATTTTCCATTTTTTTAAGAGAAAATAATGAAAAAATGATGAATAATGACAAATACATTTTAAGTGGTTTTTGTTCCTCTTTTTATTTTTTTACCCACGCATTTATTTACGTCGAAACTACCATTTTTCTTGTATAAATAATACGCTCTCTCGTAACATTCAGAGAGAAAAAAAATAACCTTTTTCATAAAAAAAAAATGGGAGTTATTCTCTGTAAACCAAAGATTTCTAAAACCGAATTTGTTGGAAGTAATCAGTCATTAATTTTATCAAATCAATCAATTTCCGAGTCAACTGAGTCAACTGATGATACAAATTATATATTTCCTAATAATGACGATGAAGCTGATCGAATTAATACTCAGCATTTCACCTATCATGCCTTATGGGGAAGAAATTATTCGGCACCAGTTGATAAATTATTGGAAGGGGGCGCCGAGGTGTTAGATGTAGGGTAAATTTCTTGACTTCCTTTAATATTTTCTTTAATAGGGTAGAAATTGTCCTTTGTCTCGTTAACCCGCTTCCTTTTTAATAGTTGTGGACCTGGAACTTGGACGTTGGATATGGGTGAAAGATTTCCTGCATCCAAATTTACTGGAATTGATTTAAGACCAACTTATCCTGAACTGATAAAGCCAAGCAATGTTTCATTTGTTCAAGCAAATGTTCTTCAAGATTTACCTTTTAAAGATAATACATTCGATTACGTTTACATGAGATTTATGATGTTTGCATTAACCTTTGATGATTGGGAAACCGCCCTTAAAGAAATTATCAGGGTATGTAGACCAAATGGCTGGATTGAATTAATGGAAGGTTGGTATCTTATAAGTGCGGTGATATTTTGATACGCAAATGTGGGATGCTGATTTTTTTTTTTTTTTTTTTTTTTTTTTTTTAGAGGATCTAATAATTCACGGTGCAGGTCAGAAAACTGCCCAATTAAGGATGGCCAGTTAAGTGATAAAAGAATCTCTTTATATGAGCATCTTCTGTAAACTTTCTTTTAAAATAATTTCAAATTAACCTTACCTTTAGTTGTCAAAGAGATGAAGAAACGAAATATTGAGGTCGATATCACATCTCAGATATCCAACATGTTGAAAAGACTCAACCCAAATTCAAATATTGAAAAGAAAAGTAAAAAGTCAAAATTAGGCGATTGGGGTAATAAAATTGGCATGCAGAATTTAGAAAACTTAAAATGGGGTGCGAAAAATTTGGCAAACGCTGTAAAATCGAATCTTTTGCTTAAAGATGATGATGATAAGGCGGAAGGAAAAGATGATTCAAAGTATGATGAACTGTACGATAAGATGGTTAATGATTTTTTCGAAGAATGCAAAAAAGGGGAAACTTTCGTCATAAGCCATAGATTTTTCATGTTAAATAACGTTGGTAACGTTCCACTGTAGGAAAGATAATTATATTTTATAATTTTATTTGTGAAATAATAATTAATATAATTTGTCCGAATATACTGTTATTTTATACCCACCCTACATAGATTGTATTTAATTACTGTATATGTTGTAATAAATAAATATTGCATATATTTATGCATGTGAATACCCCACGATTTTTTTTTGTTTTGTTAATTTTAATTGAGTAATACAAGTTGGTGACACGTAATAATTAAATCACACTTTTAGATCGAATAATTTTACGGTGGCAAATGAACAAAAAAAATACTATTTTATTCTTATTTTTATTTTTTTAATTTTTTATATATACTAATCTAAGAATTTTTATCCGTCAAACGATAGTTATAAAAAGAATGATACAAATATTTTAGGATAGAAAATGAAGGATCAGAGAAGAAAAATATCTAAAGGAAGGAATGTATAAAGGAAAGAATGTATTTGTGCAAGGTTCATTTGAGTTCTCTATGATATGTATTCGGTTATTTACAATATTTATATATATAAGAAAAATGCTATGTATAAATGTATAATATAATGAATGTTGTGTTTGTATAATGAAAATTTAAGAAAGAGTGTCTATAATAATGAATAGAATGCTATGTAAAATGTATGTATAAAAGTTTGTTTGTATATAATATGAATATTTAAGGAAAGGGGGTAAAAGTCTATCTATATGAACAAGAAAAAAAAAAAAGAAAGGAAATAATTTACAAATTAATATAAATTAATTGGAGGAAGAAAAAAAAATCTCAACATTTTTTGATCCAAAATCTATGAATCTTATCATAGCTTTTGCGTTCTTGCAATTGCTTTAAACAAATTTCAACCGTTTCATCCCATTCATCTTCGCTAAATCCGACATCAGTCATCACTTTTTTCAAATTTTTGGCTCCCCAGGAGTATAATTCTCTGTACAAGTTGCCCAATTTTCCTCCCCACTCGCCAAATGGCATGATTTTCGCGTCACGTTCTACGTCAGAATATTGAGATAAGATTTTATTTAAAATTGGTGTGATCACTACTTCAATATTTTTTTGTTCTCTTAATTCATCAGCCACTATAAAGAAAAAGGGGAAAGGAATGAACGGTTAGAAAAGATCATTCGCACAAAAAAAAAAAAATAAAAGAATAAAATTAACCAATGTGATACTTACTAACTGTGCGAGCGGACTTGCAAAATGGACCTTCATTATACCAAAAGATGTCTTTTTCCATCAATTCGATAAAACCACCAGGTTTACAAACTCTAGCCAATTCTTTTATAGCAATATCCCAATTTTTCAAGGTGAAAGCGAACATCATGAAACGCATATAAACGAAATCAAATGTGTTATCTTCAAAAGGTAAACCTTCAAGAACATTTGCTTGAACAAATGAAACATTTTTTGGCTTGATCTCTACAGGATAAAGTTCTGCAACATCAATCCCTGTAAAATGAGCATTTTTATATTCAAATGCCATATCTAATATCCAGGTTCCAGACCCACAGCTGTATGATTGAAAAAGAGAAGGAAGGTTAATTTCATATAATTAAAAGAGAAATATCTGTTTTTTAAAAAAACTTGTCTCTACATACCCAATATCTAAAACTTTAGTGGATTCATCTTGTAACATTTGTTCAACGGGAGCAGAAAAATTTCCGTCCCATACATGCTTATACATAAAATGAGATGTTTGACCTCTATCGGATTCGTCTGCATCGACAGGATATACGTAATTTAATTTTTCAGAAAATTTACAAAATTTTCTATCCCCGATATAATGAAATAAGTCTTCGTTGGATGATGCAATGGTTTCTTGTGAAGTGGATTCCGAAGAAAATGATGAAATAGTTGAAGAAGATGATATGGAATGTGTTGATAATTGTTGACAATGCTTTTTCTTTGATTTGAATGCGTTTAAAGAATGCGATTTGGAATTTACTTTTCCCATCTTTGATGATGATAATGATAATGAAATTTTTTTGAATGTTTTAAGGGAATTTTTCTTTTTTTAAAAAAAAAAATTTTTTTAACCTTTATAAATAATAAATAAATATTATTCGATCAACGAAAGAAAAGAGATGGATAATAAAATTTTTGACAAGGTTGAAATATTTTTTTTTTTAAAAAAAAAAATCTTCCCTCTCTTTATCAAAAAGAAAGTTTTTTTTTTTATAGTGATTTTTTTCAATGATATTTTGTTTTTCACAAAAACTTCCATTGCTTTTATAATCTGATTTTACTATATTACAAATAATTGACGTATTATAATGTTAATAATTGTTTTTTTTAAGGAAAAAAGAAGTTTAAACAAAGAAAGACATTTTACATGGTGATACAGTAAAAAAAAATAACAAGATTTACTGGAATGTTTTTTAATTTGAAAAATTTAAGATAAAAAAAATTCGCATAACCCTATTAGGTTAATACAAATATCAAATCAAAAAGAACAAAGAGATGTGTCACCACTAACTCTAGTTTTTTGATTCCTGTTTTCTTAATTTGGAATATAGCTTTGCGAACACAACTTTTAAAAACAAAGAGATGTGACACGGGTTAGGCTTTATGCAGGACACATGGTTGACAAATTATCTAAGCGGGTTCTGGTAAGGCTATGCAGTTTCACGAAATATTGTTGAATATCAACTTTAAGCGCTCGATTTCCTTATCACTATTGTCGATCTCATTATAATATCGAAATACGTAGGTAGAGAACAATCCTTTAAAAATTGAATGGGGATCGCCCTATCTTTAATAGTCACAGAACTAGGTCAATTAGTAATTTGGAAATTTTATACTAAAATGGTCATGTAAAAAAAAAAAAAAAATATTGAATATATACAACAATTCATTGGGTGTTATTTATGCACAAGTATGAAGTGCTCCTTGAAATCATTTCCTTTTAAGCGAAAAAAAAAACAACCAAAAAAAAAAAACTGAAACTGAATGTCATATCTTTAAGCCGATAAAGCCGTCTAATTACATCTAAAACATATTTATTGAAAAAAATATTTGAACAGAAAGAATAATCGCAAAATAACTAATAATTGACAAGCACAAAAAAAACCTAATTTCCGTGTGAAAGAAAGCCTTGAGGTCCTGATTAAGAATAAATTTTGTCCATCACAAATAAACATAAATAAATAAAAATAGATTTTTAAGCTCGTGGTTTATTAGTTCGTAAATAATAAAAAAAAAAAGGATGCAGAATTGCATAATTGTTTTTTTTTAATTATTTATCGTTAGTGAATCAATTCGTCAAAAGATTTTTAACCTCATTGATTGTTATCCATAAATGGCGAATACTGAATTATTTTTTTTTAAATTCAAAAAAAAAAGATAGCGATGAATTTTAAACGTGCACGTGCGTGCATTCCTCCTAACTAAAAATTTTAGATTTTTCTAAACTTATAATCATAAAATTGTCGCGGTATATTAATGCCGACTATAAAAAATAAAATATTTTGAAGACTTTTCTTGATGTAATATCATCTTAACTAATAATATACCACATGATTTTATTTGTGTAATGCATTAATTAACAATACCAAAAAAAAGATTTTGTAGGAAGAAATTAACTAATATCAGTACATGCTGGTGTAAATTTATCAAGCACAAAAATAATGTTAATGTAAAATTATTTGTAACATCAAAAAAGAAATTCAGGATCGTATGTGGTTCTTTACAAAATACTTGCTTACCAAGAAAAGTCACAAAATTTTGGACTATCTATTTATGAAGAACAGCCTTTCCTATGATCGATAATTTCTAGATTTCTTTGAAAATTCAGCCAAGTTAAACTTTTTTTTGTATTAAAGATGGTCATATCCGACAACCGTCACCTTATAAAATATGAAACTTTAATTTTTCATTGAAAAAAACCACTTACCCCGCCTTGAACAACAATGACAAGACCTACAAAGAAGATTGCATTAATAATCCAATCAAAGTTTATTTTCGACAAAAAACCTGTAATTCTTTGTTCCATTATCCAAAGTTTATTTTCATTAAAGTTGATCGAATAAACGAAATTTCCTTTTCGAGTTTGTTTGTTACAACAAAAAAAAAAAATCATAATTTATTATTTATGATATTCTGGCAAAATATAATAATTTACAAGAAAAGTATATATTGTCTCATGCTGTGTTTCTATTTTTTTTTTCTTTTCTTTTTATTTATTTATTTATTATTTTTGTTTATTTATATACTAAAGTATATATCGTATGATTTCCTTTGAATACTTAGAAAATGGAAATATGAGTTATCGCGTGTAGAATTCTTTATAATATGGTATCATTATCCCCTGATGTCAAACAAAGTACACGTTTCTTATCTTATGCTTTGTATTTCATTTTTCACGTGGAGATTAAATGAATCTTTGACTATTATCTGCCCAAATTAGTAATATCAAAACGATTCAATGTAATTCCCTTTATCATTGATGGTTAATAATTCCTTTAAATAGTAAAGATATTTCAATCTATCGAGGCATTTTCTTTTTCTTTTTCTCGAATCATTATAAATGTATACTGGTATTTATAGGGTATATGACGCTTTAAATAGAATTCACATCATTGTTTAATTGTAAATCCTTTTTATTCTTTTACATTTTAGTATAAGATTCAAATTAAATTTAGTTTTATTTATTGCTAAATTGAGCGATCAAGGAAAAAAAACGTGATTTACAAAGATTAAAGTTTATTCTTTTCTAAAAAAAATGAAGTAACCCAAATTAAGTAGCACAGTGTATAATGATTAATGATTTTGTGTTACTTTCTCAATTCGTCGAACACATAATTATAAAAAATGTCGCGAAGCTATATTACAAAAATTATTTTTTTTTTTGAGCACTAATATGATAGTAATAATAATAATAATATATTTTAATCAAGATCATCTTTTTTTAACAATCATGAATAGTTATACTAGGTAATGATCATGTAATATTTAAAAAAAAAATTTATTATTATTGTTTCATTACTTGAAGCAGAAAACAAGTGAAAATCAGTTCAAATTTGATCCTTGGTTAATAATCGATAAATGTAGAATACAGTTATTTTTATCATCGATCCAAGTATTTGTGTCATGCGAATATTTATAATAGCAACATGATCATCCAACTATCCTTAAATTCTTCGAACAACGCGTTCAGGTGGTTTATCAAAGCACAAAGTTGGTCATAAAGGGAATCATCATTTAATTAAAAGAGCAATTTTACAAGAATAAATTAATTAAATCAATGTCATCAAATTGAACTTTCCTAATCATATTTTAATCGTTTTTTTATCCTGATAATACAATTAAGTATTCTTATATTCTTCAAATTTTTTACAAGTGAAGAACCTTTTATATTATGTGAACGCCCTTTTAAAACTTCCAATATAAGTTTTCAATAAGTTTTCCCTATTTAATTAGTTCCCAATTATATTAAGCTTGCAACTGATTTTTAATCTCTACTTGAAGAAATAAAACTAACAGCTGATGGAGAAGCAAATAAAATAATACAGTATGCAGTTATTGAAGTTAACATTTTTTCGTATAACATTGAAATCATTAATTAACAATGAAGATGGTTGATTTCACCCGTTAAGTTAAAGACCGTTTTGAATTAAAATCGAAAATATAATTAATAAAATTTATGGTCTAATTTGAACTCCACCCTTACCATAACCTCTACTCTTATCATAAACCCTAACAACAGTATGATGCACTTCGGCGGTCTACGCTTAGTCGTTTCGTATACATTTTACAAAAATAAAAGCGATTTCTGTCCTACCAATTCCATTAATCAGCTAGTTATGTATTAGCTGGATTGGATCGTTCTGTTTCAAACTACATAGGTAAGGAAATTCAAACAATCGTATATAAGGTAAAGAAACTTTTTAGTAATCGTTTTATTTGACGAAGTCATTTCCTTTGAAGAAAATTTTACATATGTTTTTTTTTCAACATTTTACATGAGATGTTGAACACGAAATTTGATAACAAAAATTATGATAGGAAATATATATAAAGTTCATGAAGCAAATATAGGAATGATAATTGACATAAGCGTTTGATTTTTAATGAAAGTAGCAGCAATACTTTTTTCCGCGGGGTTTAATACAATAAATCAATCAAGATTGGTCTGTCCGTAATGAATTTCAAGTATTACAAATGTATTATTGCATACTAAATAAATTATGCGGAAAGATTTTCAAAATTTTACTGATCCTGAAGGTAGCTTATTACATTGCTTTATTTGTCATGGTGGGATAATGGTCGTTTTTATAGTTGTAATTATTGATAAAATGTTTTAGAAAATAGTATCTGGAGGTATGTATTGTTTAGCAACAGAAACTATAGTATTTTATAACCTTGGTATTATATATCATGGCAGTAATATAAACCGGAAAACTTCTTATGAATGTGACTAAACCAGAAGTAAGTCCTTTGGCTATGAAAATGATTATGATTTATTAATAATTTAAATAAATTTTTTGAATTTTTTTACGTCAAATAATGGTAACAAAAAAAATATTTTTTGACTTGATTTCGACCGATCTCGAAAATCGCGATTTTATCCACGACGCTATCGGCCGAAACAATTATCTTGAAAATGAAAGCGCAATTAATGCAAATTGGTTTAAATATTTGCTAATGTTGTACCTTTTGAATTAAATTCTTGGGTTTTAACATTAATGAATATATCACATTTGAACTTTTTTTGGTCCTTTCAATCTTTTTTATTTTAATTGGTTGAGATTTACTGCATAAAATATATAACAGTAAATCTTATACAAATTAGGACGAAGGATATTTAAACGCATATCCGTTAACAATTAATAAATAAAGTCGCAAAAAAAAAACTTCAAATTCATATGCAATGTTAATGTTAATTTTAATGAGCTACATTATTTTTTTAAAACTCGGAAATTTCTAATTATCTCCAAACATTAACTGAGTTTAAAA